GAATGTCTGTTTGTCTGTCTGTATGTCTGTCTGTCTGTCTGTCTGTCTGTCTGTCTGTCTGTATGTCTGTGTGTACGTATGTTCCGAATAGAAAATTCCATTTCTGAACCGATCCGGACCAATGGCACACATACACTTCGGGCCCCGGCGAGTGTCGTAGGCTACTTTTCGTCATCAATCGATATCGATTTTACCGATTTTTTTGCAAATTTTGAGCTACGGGGCTGGGAGTTGGCACAGGGGGTAATCGAGCATGCTGATTACGAATATAGTAATGACAGGGCCGGGCGGAGCCGGGTAAGTCAACTAGTGTTACATAAAAGCTTTCCTTTTGCGAGACAAGAATAATCCGAAGACTAAGAAAATTATGGAAACGAAGGGGGTACTTACATTAAGTAACTTTGGTATATTCTTTACAGATAGTCCATGCACAATAAGGGTTCGACTAGCGGCTAACACTATTGTAGGTGGAAATAATGCCAACCATAGTGAGTTGAGAGTGCATCCAAGAACCTATGATGTGAAGACTTCTCTGCTAAGCTACAAACATGGGTTCAGAATGTGAGGTAAGCTCAGGGTAATGAAAAGAAAAATATTTGCGCGAAAAGGAGAGTGACATCACTAGGATAGCTTAAAACTAGATTGAAATCACGCAGTTATGAGCTTATTATTTCGAAAGAGGGTATAGGACAGCTTCATAATCGCCACATTCGATACGCGTCAAAGTTTTCCTTCTTAAATCATTTACCGTCATTTTGGACTGCATTTTAACTAGAACAAAGGGGCTATGCATTAGACTCCAATCAGATCGCACTCAGGCGTTTTCTTGAGCAGTGTTATATATGACTGCACTTGACTCACCCTCACTAAAGTCGGATATTTATCTTGTAAATGCGGCTTGAGTAGGAAGATCCCGGTAAGTATATGTAGCAAAAGTTGCCCGAAGTTGGTAAAAGTTATAAACAGTAGCACTTTGTAATGAGAATTACATAGTAGGTTTCTATCAACTGATAGTAGCTAAAATAACCGTCTTGCAAACGACTAGTCTTGATATCAAAAACACCCACCCATAACAGGATAATGTAAAAAGGTAGATTTGGTATGGCTATGCAAATGTATACTGCGCCAACAGATGTATTATCGGATGAGTTAGTCGCGTTAATCAGTGGCATTCTTAAGTTCCCGATATTGCTTCCCATAAGCACTTTGTTCAAAAATTGCTCGCATCACAAGAGAGTAACAAATCAACAATAAGAGGACGAAAGAAGAAGCTGTCACTATTTAAAAGTGTAGATATTGGCAGGCGCTATTTCAGTCGTGCACTTAATGGAAAATGAATTACTTAGCAGGTTCATGTCGCTTTCGTATGCATAAGTCATTATCGCCTAACAAATTATTAGCTTTCAACTCTCTCATTAACTGTACAAGCTCCCTTTACGCAAGCTATTTGCAAAGGGACAAGAGTTTTTTATTTATGAAAATTTAAAGTATTGGCGATTGAACGAATACGAATTGAATGTGTTGGTTTCTTCTATACTGCATTTAAATGTCTACCAAATCTGCTTCGTGTTATGAGAAAGTTGTTCGAACACAAAAAGAAAATTTTCCAACACGCATGCCAATGATTTTGTACTTTAGTGCAAATTATGAACCACTTCGTTCCTTGAGCCTGAGACAAAATGGGTTGTTTAAAGTTCAGTGCGTTCTAACTCTTTTTTTTTTGCCATTTCAGGTTCTATGGCTCAAAGGCAGCGGCTCGGCAGATTGACCTACCTCAGATTTTGACACAGATGGATAGGAGGCCCTCCAAGTGAACCAAAACAGCAACTCCGCGCCGAAAGTGTGAACTCTGCAAGCCAGGGGGCGGCCCAAGCGCCGCTCCCCTTCCTCCTTTCGCTCCCCTAACATCTTGTTCGAACGAGTATTCTCCGCTAGACGGCGCGGGACCTCCCAACCGCTTTCCCGCATTGTGCATGCTATACAAAGCCAAAATTACAGGCAGCAGGGTCTTCGTGCCAGGGCCTCCCGACTTTCCTTTGAAAATTCTCGTCCGATCTGCCTTTTGGAAATTGAAAAAAACGCCCCGAAAAAAGCCTTTTCACCCCTTTTAAAGCTCAAATTCGGGATCTACGGGTCGAGAAGGCCCAAAACATGCAAAAAGCTGGAAATACAAAATCTGCCGGGACGCTGCCTTCAATGAGAGGTGGAGATTTACAGTCATCTACATTTTATCAAACCACAGGTAAGAGGATTTTTCTGAAAACAGGTATAAAGTCTTCTAAGGACTTGCGCTACAGAATACTGATTACAATTTCCAAAAATTTAATTTGAAAAATTTTCAGCATATGGATATGAATATGACTTGTACTGGTTCATTGTATGAAAATTATAAGTGCAGCAAGCATACCAAACTTTCGCTCCCTACAGCGAGACCGACTATAACATCTGGTAAAACCTTGGCACTACTCCACGAGTAAGTAGTAGTATTGAATAAGTTTGATTTCAAAAATTAGTAGAAACTTTATTTCTAGACAAGGATCTCATATGATTTTTGGCGGGTTTTTTTGGGTTTGAGGGTAGTAAAACCTCGTATGAGTCAATTCAAAAAATGGAACTAAAATCAAAACAAGTGTGGAACGCACTCTAAATTCAGAAGACCGGATAGACTTGGGTAAAATCATTTTGACTTTTCGATAAGGGAGAATAAAATACTTTCAGTATCTTTATTCGCAAAGTTGTAAAGAATGCCTGCATCCGTGAAAATAGAAAGTGCATCGATATCAACCTCAGAAAAGGTTGCTCAAGACCTGTAAAAGCGAGGTATTTGATTACTTGTATGTGGTATGAATTCATTGTTTATTATTTAGTCTGTGAAACCAATAGCTGCAAAAGCAATAGCTGCTATTTTGCTGCGATAGATCTGTCTTCTTGGACATAGCTACCCATCAATGAAGTACCAAGCGAGCAGAAAAAGACAAATCAAAGTGTAGTGTGCTACCCGGCCAGCTTTCCACGTACCTCCGCACAAGCCCGCAGCGCATGCCTTCAATGCGCTTTTCGTTCCAGCTCTAATAGCAAAATTTTGCTATCTTCCCTTATGTGGCTTTGTTCTATGTTGTAACTGTATTTCAAGTGAAAAGACTCATGACTACTGCCGATGATGAATTTTTACGAGACTTGACTGTCTTGAAAGCTTTTATCGCAAGAATTTCTCGTTACTTAGTGGTGTAGAGAGTGTAGTTTGATTGAATATCAGGTTTCTGTCACACAATAAGCTTGTTTAATTCACTAATTTTGTGAAGTGTAGATGTTTTTAGGTCTGTTTTGATGTGCATTTAGGGTTTTGCTTCTGTGTGCTCTTGAGACTTACTCTTTTTAAGTTTTTCATGACCACAGAGCGAAAACGTTTCAGAAGTGATCCTCGGCTTTTTGTGTTACTACTACCACCCATCACTAGTATTGTCATACAAACATAGATGAGATTGACTGGAATCTGAAATCTAGTGAAGTTGTGAGGGTTCCTATTGCTTAGGATTTTTTCGAGTTGAGACTAGAGGCTTCCACTTATCAATTCACCCCGTCTTCAAAGTGTTTTTTTGTTGTCAATAAGTGAAAGAAGAAGAGTCAAGCAGAGTGCACATTGCGTAGCGTCGCGGACATTTCTAAAGGAAGCTGGCGGAAACATACACTAATGTTTTATTCGTGCTTCATATTAGTTTTTTTTTGTTGCAAAGATATATATATATACTTTTTAGCATTTCGATCTAATTTATATCTATTTGAAAAATTTGTATTTTTTGACAAGTTGTTGAAATTTCGATTTGAGCAGGTGAGATCAAGCGCTGTTCTTAACTTGCCGGTATCTAATTGCCAACAATTGTGGAAGAAGAGTTAAATGTTCAAAGAGAAGGCATTGCCAACGACCAATTCAAGGAAGTTGTAATTTTTCCAAATGATTGAAGTGTGTAATAATATTATAGTGATCTGTATCTTACACATGAAGCTGAATGTCTGTTTGTGGGTCTGTCTGTCTGTATGTCTGTATGTCTGCACGTATGTTCCGAATAGAAAATTCTGGACCGATCCGGACCAAACTTGGCACACATATACTTCGCGGGGCGGATGTCGTAGGTTCGAAACTAACTTCGTGAATCGAATTGTGATGTTTTTTGCCGAAGCTAAGCTTGAATCAGGTGACAGCTACGTTTCTATACACACATGTAATTCAAAGATAAAACGACCACTGACACGCAGGTGAAATTTACAAAATTGCTCTCGCCAATTTCGAGGAAGCTATTTGTTGGCGAGCGCAACTTACGATATAATAACGAAATTCCTCCTCTACAATCGGACATGAAACGGCTTTGAAATGTTCTAGGAGTTTCCAGCTGTGGAATGAAATGCAAGCATCAAAAATGCTGGTTCTTGCGCAATGTAAAAGTAGTAGCTCACCAATTTCAGCTCTTACAAGCTCGTATGATAATCAACTTCTGCTCTTGAAAAGATATTTTGTAGAGGATGAGCAGCATTCCATAGCACAATTTTGAATTCAGAACTATAAGTAGTTGCCGCGGCACTATTGCAAAATTCAAATAATTTTGGCGCATCCTACAGATATCAAACGTCCATCATTATTTACATTTTATACACCACAAGGAGAATTAAAAGCAAGGCTCAATCACGCAACTAATAAATTTGTATTTCACAGATCAGGTATCAGTAATTGTATGTGCTCCATAATGCAATTCCCAAATAATATGGGAACTAGCGCAAACTTCATCAAAAAACTGACATTCTGTTTCCTCAGCAGAAAGTTGTTTCACTTCGGTCTTTCACTTCATGATAAAATCTCCGCCGCGTGTGATGGTGCAAAAGGATGTCGCGTACTGTTGGACAAGAATCTCGGAGTCTCAAAAGGCTTAAGGTGACGCCAAATTTGATAGGTTGAGATATGAAAGTATAAAGTCCTAGTCTTCCAAGACGTCCGTAAGGTAGCAGTTATGGAGAGCCAACATCAGCCATCAATTGTGCTATTTTTGCTAATTATATGTAACGTTATAATCATCACCATATGGGGACTAATTCCACAAGTATGTTTTCTACTCCCTCAAGGTCTTCAATGTTTTGTGTATGTGTTATGAAAGAAATCGATTTTTATCAATAGCAATTTACTTAATCGAACAGAACTGCCTTTTAGGAATATCCCTTTGATTCCCCAGAAAAAGTCAGAGTCTGCCAGCATGATTACACCAAAGACTCGCTCCATCCTATGAGCTTGCTATCATTTACGGCAAGTGAAGCAATACCTTTTTCTTCTCAAATGTTTGACAGAAATTTTTTTGAAGTTGTGGAAGAAGCTGAGTCCTATAGTTGCTCGCTGTGCGTACAATCTGCGACTTCCAATCGAAAGTTACAGCGCAAGTAATGGGCTTGCGCTTTTTCACATATCCAATAGAAATCAGGTTTGTTGCTCATTTGGTGATTTTTTTGATCATATCAGGCATCACCCTGCAAATTTATATGGAATGGAAATTTCTAAAAATGATTTTGAGTATTACGCAATTGATGAATCATCACCGCGCTGTGCCCACTGCTTGAAAATTCTATAAAATTTAAGTATTTATTTGGCAATAGTAAATCTTCTGTTGAATCATATTTATACGTGTATTTTCATTTTCTCCACTCCTTAGCCAGTTTTGAGATACCTTCGGCATAAAAATTTTGTGCGTGGCATCAACATGTAGTATCCTTCAAGACCGAGAAAACGATTAGGATAGAACTGTTGGGCGAAATTATTTCGAAGACTTTCTTTCACTATAATATGAGTGTGAAACTTTGTACATTGATGTATTAGGTTGTCCGGTTATCAATGCTGGTTTTGAATTTCAACCGCAATAAGTCATATACTTCTCATCTCCAAGTAGATTGCAAGGTACCATTCGACAGAGCAAAGCAAGCACTACAAAATGGCTCTTTTGCTTTTGCAACAGCTCTCATCCACCTCTTTCGAGCCAAAAACTAAAAAGGTCCAATTGCTTAAAAAATTGAGAAAAATCGTAACTCAGTTCAAAAAAATTTTGCAAAAATTCTAACTTGCTCACGTAAGCACTATCCACATAAGACGTCTACATGCGCCATTGGTGTCTTTTTTCACCTATTGGAAACCAAGAAAACGGAGATTGTCTTGCATTTTCCAAAGTGATGCTGTGCAGTCCCATGCGTAGTTATGTACTACAAAGTTGTAGAAGTACAAACGTAAATTTTCAGCTGTCTACAAGCTTCAATTTCCGAGAAATCTGAATTTTGGTTTGGACCACCTGACTAGGGAAAGCCATATTCGATATACCTCGAGAACCAAAGCTTGTAGAAAGCTGAAAATTTACGCTTGTACTTTTACAGGTTTGTAGTACACAAATACGCATGTTGGGGCTGCACAGCATCACTTTGGAAAATGCACGAAAAATTCCGTTTTCTTGGTTTCCAAAAGGTGAAAAAAAGACACCGACGGCGTATATTAATGTCTTATATGGATAGTGTTTACGTGAGCCAAGTTAGAATTTTTGTAGAATTTTTATAAACTAAGTTAAGATTTTTCTCAATTTTTCAGCTAAATCATTTTAATTTTTGGCTCGAAACTCAAGGTTACTGAAAGCTGTTGCAAAAACAAGATTGCCATTCTGTAGTGCTTGCTTTGCTCTATCGAAAGGTACCTTGCAACCTATTCAGAAATGAGAAGTGTATGACTTATTGCGGTTGAAATTCGAAACCTGCATTGATTTCCGGACAACCTAATAATTATTCTCTATTTCCCATCTTTAATTTTATCTGGGCCCGTAGTAATCTACCCTACCTGGTGGCATCAAAGATGCCGGCAGGTAGGCACACATCGCGGGGAAGTTGCCATCATCGACGGCAGCTCGTGGAGTGATTGTAGGTTTTAATAATCTTATGTAACCTTAGTGCGCAATCATTTCGCACATCAAATTTTGATGACGTACACAGCCCAAAACTGCTACTTCGCGCGCGATCGAACCTATGTGCGTTAACTTGAAGTGCCACCACGTTAACAGTTCGACCATTTGGTCAGCAATTACCATTTGCACCAGCAATAGGAGGAACGCACCGGTAAGTGGCCGCCTGTAAGAGGGATCAATACATTGCGTGAGAAACTTTGACCTGAAAGAACAGCTGATTGATATGAGCGAGAGAGGGGCGAAATCGGTGCAAAAAAGATTTAGAAGGGATTGCCAAAAAAGATAGTGTTCTTTGTGGTTCTAAGGCATGACTATATTTTTTCTCTGTAAGAAAATCGTCGTTTCAAAAAAGAAAAACTCATATAATGAGAAAAAATGATAGTTTTTTGAAGAAACAGAGTTTTTTTGATTTTTTCGCCTGACGTAAACTGTGTGATATCGCCGCAATTCGCAAACTCACAGACGCCGTCGGCAAAGGTGCCACCACCTCGACGTGGTAGGGGCACGTCGAGATGCCGGCAGCTCCCTCTCTCAAAAGAGCACGCTATTTGCCGTGCTCTCTGACCTTCCGGCAGCTGCCATCTCGCGGATTTCGACGAGCTGCCGGCAGGTTGCCGGCAACTGACATCGCGAAGTTGCCGGCAGCTCCTTCTGCGCTTCCAAATAGATATTTTTCTACAGAAGGATTTCTAGAACCGCAGATTTCTATGGAATTTTCTACAGAGTCGAGGCGGCATCTTCGTCAAGAAATTTTTTGGAGGCCACCTCACTGAAAAGGTGCCAAAAACCTGCCAACGAGACCTGCCGCCAGGTCGGGGGGATTACTACTGGCCCTGCTGTTGGTAAGGGTGTAATTGAGGTTTCGCAACTATGAAGATTTAGAAGTAATTGTGCTTATACTCGAAGCATCATGACTTACATTTGACTTTGAAAATTGTAGTTACTTTCCATAGATCGTCCGACCATCCGTGGAGACTTCGCTTTCAAGTGTATGTCAAGGGCTTTTTCCGCGTACTCGAAGTAGCATTACCAGTAATTTTGGACAAAAATATTATAAATTCAGATGTGAGAGGATTCCTTGTAAAAAATTGTTGAAACATTTTTTTCAGTTTCAAAATTCCTCCTGTAGCGTGGTAAGCATCAACAATATCAACCATGGTGATGCCGAAGAAAATTTAGCGGTAAACAATGTTTATCAAAACAATTAACAAATATATTATTACTTATATCTGTTTACTATTTATGTAAGAAAAGCACGTCATGCGATTTTTACGCCTCCGACAAGTCACTAGAGATTCGCGCAGATTACCAAAACATGACTGAAAAACTGCAAATTATTATGGAATCGAAATCGCAAGGTTTGTTCCATCTACCGCTTGCCAAATTACAAAATATGTAACATATAGAAGAAAAATTTAGGTCCAACCTACGTCACCGATCTGTCTACACTAGTGAGACTAAGATTTGGTCTTCAAAATGTTGACAACCTCATCGTTGGACCATTCGAACACAATATAGAATTTCGTAATTTGCTGCAGATGGACGTTTACAAAAAACTAGTGCTACGTTTCTGTCAAGTGTGTTTATAGTTTAATTTTTTTTCCTATTCTGGTGAGAATATACATATTTCAGGTGAACGTAGTTTACAGCCGAACATTTATCGGTGGTAACTCCTTCCTCAAGTCCTTTAACGCTATTCTTTACGAATCCACGTTTTTGATCGTCAAAACATCCATGTCCAAGGATGGAAACTATATGAATGTATTTGCTGTCAATTTTGTCGACGAATATTGTATAAAACATTATCTTCGATATAGAGATAGTCCTGAATTTGAGGTTTGAAAAAAATTATGTTGACTTTGTTTCAAACTAACTTTATCTGATCTCAAAATTTACATGATTATTGTTCCTATTAGTCAGCAGTTATCAGTTTTTGTTATGCATAGTATAAAAAATTGGTGATTTTTTAGTGTGAGACACTTGCGCTATCTAGTTTCTTGAAGCATATATTAGGTTATTTCGAAAGTAATTTCGCTTTCCAAAGGGGCAACATAAATGATAGAAAATTTCCGAGAGACTTTAAAAGCATTCCATGCCACATTTTATTCTCTTTCGAATGGTTTTAGAACCATTGCAGCACAATGAATGAGCCTTCGAAAACTACCAAAATCTGCGAACCATGCCTTCTGAGATGCTCAACTTTCGCAATTTTTCTAAATCTCTATATCAGTTCTCCGAAGGGTCCAAGTAACAGGTGGATAGAGCAAAAAAAAACAGCACACTTTTTCTCCTTCTCATATCTCGCCACAACTTTTATAAAGTTTATCTACTAAATCGCCGAATCATGGCAGGCCTGTGTAATACAAACGGAGCAAACAACATTGAATCTCCGGGATTCGAAACTTCCAAAATGTTGTGGTTCAAAACTAATTTTACAAAGTAAATGAGAGTCTAAGGAGTCGAGATATCTGATTGCGAATTATTCGGGTAGAGCTCGGGGCACGTGCGAAAATGTAAATCGTGATTTGATCTGAAGAGTCCACGAAGCGGGAACAAAAAATACCCACCCTTTAGAAAGAGGAAAAAAAGTTGCTTCGAATGACGTCCGAGCTGCACACCCTTACGTTCTATGAAATTTGAGTTGACCAAGTATGGAAATTGTTAACGTCAATTAAAATTGTTTTGAAAAATATGATGAGCTATAGAAAGAAGGGAAATTGTTTTTATCCTGTGGGGTTTGTTCCATCAACCCGTTATTTGGCTTCTTCGCTGGGTTGGTAACAAAATTTAGAAAAATTGTGGAACCTGAATGTCATCTCAGTCATGGGGTCGCAAATTTTGTTAATTTTTCCTGATAATGACCTGATAGCTTGCTCAAATTGGACTAGGTGTGAGAAAATATCTTTTAGATCCGAAGAAATCAAAAATTTACGGATAGAATTTTTGATTGACACATCCATCATTGCGCGATTAGCGCGGTTTCCAAGGTTTCCGGGCGTCCTTACGGTAAGAGCCGAATAAGACACCAATGAGGCAACAAGTAGTCATGAGCCAAAGAAAAAACTGATTGGCAGTCTAAGGAATGCCGCCTCTCTGCAAAATATTTACTACCTGAAAAAATCTTTCTTATTCAGCGATCAGTTTGCTTACTTAGTCATTTTGCTTTGAGCCGTAAGATTTTGCTCCGATGAGAATGTCGCATGCTGGAAAACCACAAAAAATCATTCAAAACGACTTTCCTGAAGTAATTTTGAATTTATGATGTATGGCTGCTTCGAAAAAACTGCACTTTCCAGTAATTGCATTTGTCTAGAATACAAATGAGTCCAATAACAAGGTTTATATGGAGAAGTGTGTTTCTATAATAAAATCATGCATTTCAACAACCGGAATGTAACTGCTCTTTCAATTGTTACAGTAAGGTAAGAATTTCTAAGAACCATTCATAGAAGTTGCACAAAAAATATCCTGCGATAAAGAAAAATCAAAAGATTGCTAATTATTTGGAAGAATTCAAGAATTGTACAGCATTAGCTTTTGATCGAAGCAATAAACATTCCTTAGATATGAACCTCGCCAGGGTCCATTCATTCGTGGGAAAGACAGAAAAGTAAAAGAACCGGTATTTTGGAAAAGATAGTGATAAAGTTATAAAATTTGATAAATAGTAATCGAAATCCAAAATCTGAGGATGAGGCAAAGTGCATGATCTCACTTCTGGTACAAAATATGAGATTGAAGATGATCAGAGTGATTATGATATTGTCATTTCGCTGTCTTGTACTTACATACATCCAGCGTAAAAGACAACAATCAAAACAAAGAGAATAGTTTTTCGCTAGGGCCACTCTCTGATATGCTTCTTATATCTGAAGAATGAGGTGGCGCACAAGAATTAGCCAAATTCGTTTTTTTTTTACAAAAACTTTTGAAATCAATCCAGTCGGCTGCTTTATAGAACATTATATTTGATGGGTCTGTGATAACCCACGTCTCGATATTAGATGCCACTACAGATGCATGATAACATCTCCGGCGCAATATTATGAAGGAAATCCTTGGAACAATGAAATATTCGCGAAATATTCTTGCCTGCACCTTCACATAGTGTGATATATGAAAACACATAGCTATGTTCAAGCACTGGTTCACGCTTATAGCAGCCATAATCTTCCCAGAATAGCTGCAATACTCATACTTCTGTGCATCCTACTAATTAACTACGATGTTCTCCTGTGGCCACCTGTAAGTTGCTATAAACAACACATGAACTTGATTTTTGAGAATATTTCACTTTGCCAGAATGTATGTTTCTTTTAGGACGATTTCCATTATTTATTTATGAAGGCTAGACGTTGCCAACATGAATCTACAAAGTTATCGTTCCGTCCAGGATCTAAGCTGTCCTACACTGTAAGCTTAGACCTTCTAAGCATAGGCGCCGTAAAACCTAATTGCTCGCGCCGTGCCTTGAACACCAGCGTAAGCGAGCGGTCGTCGCGAACGACTGTCGGCATTCACTATATATTCCAAAAAATCTTTCTTCAATTTTCATGTTGTTCTCGTCAATGCAAGGTATATCTTGACGAAAGCTTCCTTCAAAAGTTTAAAAAATATGTGTGGAAAGAGTGCGCGCTCATTGTCGCTCGAAAAAAGCCTGTAGCGCCTCGGGACCAAACGTTTCCAGCCGCGCCGCGCGTTGGTGTTCAAAGTGACGCGTGGGAAATTGGATTTTACGGGGCCTGTATGTAAACTCATCATCTAATCTCGAAGTTTGCTTTCCTGCAAAGCTATGGGATAAATTGGGTCCGATCATCACTACATGCTCTTACAATCCTCATATTCCAATCAAAACTTACGAATCTGCAAGTGGTTTAGCTATTTTTCATGTAGAAATGCGACAAGTGAGTTCTTAGAATTGTGTTTTTACTGATAACCACCATCAATGTCGCTTCTCAATTAACGAAAGAAAAGATTTAGATGTAAAATTTAGACCTTGCTTCAACTTCAGCAGTCTGCTCCGAACTGTTCAATAGTGAGCGTCAATAATAATATGCACAGTGATGCTGAGCAACAATTAGCGGTAAGGACAATATATAACTTATATTTACTCAGTTCATGCCAATCTTAATCAGGTTTCGACGAACTGCAGTTTTTTTGCATCTGATAAGTCTATTCATTCACCTGCTGCTTATCAAACCAAAGCTACAAATATGGAAGTGATCTTGGAGCAGACATCGAGCGGTAATTAGATTGCCATTATTTAATAGTATCGTGGTTACTATGTCTATTCCATCGACATCAGTTAGTTGTTTGTAGCTTTCACACCTCACCATAGCGCTTTTCTTCAATTTCTTAGATTTGTGAGCCAATCTTCTCTGATATGGTAGTAGTTTTCATAGCAACTAAATGTGCAGACAATTCCACTTTCATATTCTCAGGTTTCAGGCAATAGAGCAACCTTTGCTAATAATAGTATTTGAGTCATTTTGAATGGCGTAATCGGTACGCAAAGATTTTTTTCCAATCAAAAGGGTGTGACGAGCCATGGCTTTCGTGAAATATTTTGGGGATCTCTTCCCGAAATTGCGAGAAGTGTGTAGTATCAAAGAAATTGTTTGGATCATGTAGGCGTAAAAACAGCTCACTTGCAGAGTATCACAAATCACAACCCTTTTACAAAAAATGGCGGACTCTTGGGGAGGGAGAGTTAAATGCGGCACTATTGACGCTATTGAATGCGATACAACTCAATTTTTGCAAAATGGCACCCTTGATTGGCATAAATTGGTTTTCAAGTATGATTTCTAGTAGGACAAAGTTAAAGCGACGACATGCTTTGCATCGCATAGAGATTTGCAGAAAAACCATGAAAAATCTCGCAGAAAAGAATTCATCGAGATTCGTACGACAGACAAACGCCGAAGTCTGCCTTCGCGTTTTCACGGTATTTGAGCTGTGCCGTAACCTATTATATTACTAAACCCCATTGCCATTGTTCAAGGAGATAGACGGCATGTCACCGACTTACGGTCACTTGTTCTACTAAACTCCAGCGCTCGAGTAATTGATAACCTTATCGTTGGACCATTCGAGCATAATATTGAATATCGTGCGTTGCTCTGGCTCAACTTCTATAAGAAGCTTGGTGTACAACTATGTCAGGTATGTACTTTTAGTTCTCTTCATCCACTATATACATTAATTTTCAGGTGAATTTGATGTATAAGCATACGGACCTCATCAGCCGAAAATTTTTTATGCAATCTATTCATGGAATCCTCTATCAATCCTTCTTTTTAATTGCTAGGACATCAAAGTCAAGGGACAACAAAATAATGAATGTGTTTGCTATTAACTTTAAAGAGGAGATCTGCATTGAACGCTACATAAGAGATATAAACAAATTCCGACCAAGTCGAACGTTCTTGCTTTCGCAAGAACAGCTTGTGCGCGACTACAAAATCTAAGTCCTTCATACTAAAAGCAATTACTCGGTTCAGACGCCTGCACTTGATACATTTTATGTACTTTATACGTAACTTCATAGACGTACGTTCAAAATACAATCATCAAAGTTTGCCTGCTCTATGAAGTACGGTACCTTCGTAATGCTCCTTTAGTGTAAAATGAATGTTGAACTCAGGTTGTTGCTATTATGTCTTTTATTCGCATGTACACCATCCTCCTAATTTTCTGATTACGAGCAAGTTTTAGTAAATGCTAAGCGAAGTGCTCTGCTGCTGTCAGTTTATAATGCTTCTAGCAAGCCTAATTACTTCGAAGTCTCAAAAAATTCCTCGAAACATTGCTCAAGTTACACTCGGCTTTCTCGTTTCATTGCGTCTAAATTATTTATGTTTGTGCAATAAAACCTTTCTGATGTTATACTCAACCATGCCCTTGTTTTTATTTGAATAGAAGTAAGTCGTTTCAGTACTAAGCGCATCGTTCCACGAGCAGCTGAGGTTTGCCCCAGGTCGCGTAGTTTTGGACCTCCAACTGGGTTCGGCACAAGATTCTTATTAGGTTTCCATCAATGTTCTAGAAAAGCCACTATACTTTTCACCTTGCACTGACGTTTTTCCGAATCTTTACTCGAAACGCCACAACCTTACAAGTACTAATTATAAATCACTCTAAGAAAGATTACCAATTTTCCAAAATATGTGCCATGCGTTCCTATTGGGCTTTTTTGAATAAATGGCGGACTATGCAGAAGAGTGTAAAATCGCTAAAAGAAACCTATCACTGTTCCTGTGGCCAAGCCTGAATCTCTGTTGGCTTATCTATGCATTTGGCTCTCCGTATCAAAAAGTGCAAATATTAATATTTTAGTTCCTTTCTTTCCATGTTATATATAACGCGGGGAGTTTCGTGTATTGCAAGGCCCGCTCTGGCGCGGGCTGTCACTTATACAGAGACACCATCTTCTACGAGAAATTGATAGTTACCGCTTCAGTGGACAGTTCTTATACGCTGATTGACTCTCTAAGGGCTGCATGCACTAATATCTCCGCTTGAGAGGAGATAGCAGTTAATAAGGAAGCTTCATATCCTGAAGCTCTAGATATCTGGATTTCACGCTGTTTAACTATCTGTAAGTATTCCCACCATCCACTACTGTGAACATAGCAAATAGGGGCAAGACGATGTACAAACCGCATTTTCCAGTTTTTTGTATGGTTCCTTAATGATCCCCCGCACCGACCTTCTCTTTTTGGAAGTCATTTTTCTTTCTTAAGTCATTTGAAACCTGCCAAAGTTTTACTGATTATTTGACCATACAGTTTTGAGCATGTTTTTGATAGGAACAAATGATATGCCAAAGTAATGAAAGTCGCGATGAACCACGAGTCGAAAGTTGGGGTTTATTTTAATTTTTATATTTTAATATTTTGATATTTTAATAACTCAAATGTATAATTATTATCAGCAACGTGCTTAGCAGTATTGGTTGGATAACCAGAACAACTATGGGATCTTTTCGTTGATTTCGAAGAAAGGAAAATGATTCTGTAGAAAAGACGGCCGGGCGCTGGGATCATCAGAGGTTTATACAATGAGCTGGAGAATGCGGCTTGTGCAGCTTCTCGCTCCTGTTTGTATGTTCATAGCGAAGGATAGTAGGAACTTTTTTCGGATTTCATTGAGAGATCCCTTTGTTAGGCCAACACCCAAGTCCTGTTCGACAAGGCCTCTCCTACGTTGAGAACATTTCGCTCAAAATGGCGCGCGAAGCGCATTTCTGCGCGCTCTGAACGACTTGTCGGTCTATCAATTGTTTTTCAACAGTCTTTCCAAACAACGCCATCCATCTTGACGTGTTGAAACCTGCGGCCAAAACTAACAAGGGAAGTACTCTCACAGGCCGTGGACATTCGATATGAGATGCCTATCATCTGAAGCAGTTCTGCATTTCAAGTATGCATCCTTTGTGCGGAACGCTCTTTTGAAATTATGAAAATTTTGATTTCGGCTGCTATTTCAGCAACGGTCGCCACCATGTGCGCTAGTGGTGTAGTAGTGCGGTGAATAGTGTGCTGGCATTAGAGTCGAGAGATCAAGGGTTCGGTTTTGAAGCAAACCCTTTTGCAGTTTGAGTGTCAGTTTGATACGCATATGGTTTGCAGACAAGTACAGCATACGTTCTTTATACGTTCGTTGTTTATACGTTATTACTTCATACACTGTTTCCGTTGCGAGTAATGTCTGTGTTTTGTCCACTTTGCAAATTGGACAAAACACAGACATTACTCGCAACGGAAACAGTGTATGAAGAAAACTCCTCTAATTATGTGTACCCATCAAGACATAAGTGTAAGTGGCAGACAATTTCAAGAGCTTATCGAACTCGCACTTAAGATGTAGAACGTTTGCCTTCCCCTTACCCCCCCCCCCCCCCCAGGACCGAACCGTTGACCTCTTGAATTCCAACGCCAGCACGCTAATTAGTGCACTACTGCGCCAGTAGCTTACGTAGGAGCGTATCCGTACCCTCGAATAACACCCAGAATTAGATTTTCAGACTTCCATAAGTCCTTTCCGAAGAGCGTTTCTCAAAAATAGAATATAGATTTGAAATCAGCGTTTAAGACTGCTTCAGATGATATGCATCCAATATCGAAAAGCCACGGCCTCTTGAATTACTCCCTTGTAGGAGAAGACGAAACGGCTCGTCTGCGTTGCTTTTACGGCTCTTTGGAAAACGGGTTTCTTAGTTTTTATGCACCTAGGATCACACAAGGTCAGGAAAGCCTGTAATTCGCAAAAATCCCGAGACTCAAATTCTGCTGTGACACTGTTTAAGCCCCGAGAAAAACAGAAAAGATTTGTGTTAGAAAACTGCAACGGGCTGGTAGTATTAGCACTAGGCTGAGCTCAAAAAACATGATTGAAGAACAAATCTGTATAAATACAGAGTCTAGCGAAGCATTGCAAAAAGAATTAAAGATAGTAGTTTTTTTCATCACTTCCGCCTAGAGAATGCTGCGGTGGTCAATTTTAAAGGGCAAAGGCATTGTCGCCAAGCGCCCCAACTGCGGATAGAAGCAGGCGTTGCGAATAAGATTTTAGAGGACGTGGGCACGCATTTTTTGCACGCAGGAGCCTAAACTGGAGCAGCGCCAAAAATACACTACTGGCTACTAAAGCCTTTTCCTCTCGAACGTCGTAGCATGCTTGGACATGACATGGCTCAAGTTACATTAAGATTAGATAGCGTTACCACTTAACCTCGAGCACTTGAGTCTACAAGACTAAGTTCAGAGTGAACCATTCAAACTTTGAGTCCGAACTGAAAAATGGTCGTAAAAAAATCCAAATTTTCCAACTTGACTCTAAAAGACTGGAAACTTAGAGCATTAAAGAATTCTTGGTAGTTTGTAAAAAAGTAAATTCGGTCGTTTTTGACGGTTTGTAGAAATGCTACAAACTTGTTTGTGTATGAATGCTTAGTACCATTGGAAAGAGCTAATCGAAGATTGTATTATCAATCTTTTTGAAGGTTGTATAGTCGAAAAAGACTGTATAATCAATCAAAAATTATATTTTTGATGACGAAATGTTGCAGGAAAGAATAATTGAAATTTTTTGTCAAATGTTGGGAAAAATTGTGTTTCAAGAAACGTACTGAAAATGTTTGCAAAATATATATTTATTTGGTATCGTTGCATTACTTTTCACATTTTCAGCCATTTGCATGACGATGCAAGAGACCGGTCAGTCAGAATCGGTAGGCTGCAACGTCTAGTCATCTGCCTGATCATGCTTGACTGCTTGTGTGAAATAGGTCGTCTCTTTGATCATGTGGCAGAAAACGTTAACAAATCCACGAATTATTTACCAGCCAACGAGTAAGATCTCATAATCGTTATTTGCAGGAAATTTATCTGATTTGCGATCTATTTGATTTAATCTATGAATTACAAAAGACTCAGACTCGACAAGAGCTGCCACTAGGGAAACTTCAGAACGAAGTCTGCTCTGATCTTAAAAATTTCGTATGAAGTTCCTTTGACCTATTTCAAAGACCTGCATTCTTTTAGATTTTGTAAAAGTATGTAATAGGGGGTTTTCACGCACGCTGTTTTCATTGAACGACTTTCCACAATTTCTCTGCGAATTTCAAGTAATTTAGTTAAGAGAGCAAAGAAAAAGCAGTCGTTACAGTCTATGTGGAACTTATGAAAAAAAAAACACGGCTCTCGGTTTTTGCCTTGTTTGGTTCCCTTCAATTTTCTTTCAATATTTTTGGTTTCCTTCAATTTTTTTTTCAATAAACCCAATCAGATCGGAAGCCGTGCGTTGTCGTACGTTGCAGCCTACCGATTCTGACTGACCGGTCTCTTGCATCGTCATGCAAATGGCTGGCGCAAGTCCCGCAAATCCCTCGAATCCCGCAAATCCCGTGAAGTCGCGAATCCCGCAAACATCGCGAATCCCGAAAATCCCGCGAATCCCGAAAATCCCGCAATTTTGGACAAATTCCACGGTCACAACTGTAACGTGTTTTTGTAAAAGTGCAGTTGAATGAGCGTGCAGACTTTAAAAATTCAAAAACCTTTTGGACAGGATAATGTTTTCCAGAATGTCTTTGAGGTTTGAGGTTTTGAATGAAGAGGAGGAAAAAGAAGAAGTCGTTTTCGAAATCACAATTAGGAATTTCATGGACAGCAAAGTAGAAAATTTCACCTAAGGAAAGAGAACAAAGAAGGCATAGAAGAATGAGGCGGGCTACTGTAATGGGCGTTTGCTATGAGAAAAGATACATCAGTTTACTTCTTTCAGTTTTTTCAAAATTCAGTGAAAAAGGAAAATTTCGCAAATAGCTATGTTTGTAAAGAAAACATTATGAAATTAGTTTTTCCCTGTATGTAAACTTTTGCAATGTATATATAGTTCATGTAAAAAAGTATGGAAACTACGTGAACAAAAGGCCGGTACCAGCCAATTCGGAAGCAAGTTTAGC